ATGCATGAAAGAAAATTAAAAATGAATGGTATTTACAATGAAAGAGATGTAACGTGGAACTAGGCTTCATGAGGGTTTGATGGTTGTTGGGAAGGCAGTTTGAAAGGAAGATGGTGGGGCAAAATGAAGCGTAGATCACGGTTGCTACTTGTGTTGCAACGTAGAGTGGGCAAGTAGCAACATAGTGGCTCTCCATCATCATCCAAGAACGTGTAGATGAGGTGGTTAGGCGGGTACCTTCCCGATAGAATGTGATGCTCCAAGGCATATGTGACGTCTATCACCGGGCTTAACGAGATAGGTGGATAGTCGGATATATCAACATTGAGACGGTTGAATAGTGGGGTGAGCATTCCTCCAATGAAAATTCGTGGTCGAAGAATGTGAGTGTTGGAAGACCGGATGTTTGAGATGTGGTCAAAGAACATTGAGGCGCCTTTGCTCCCATGGTATGTAGTGTCTCGATCAATTGGTTGACCATAGTAGTCTTGAAGAGAAGTATGGATCCCAATTTATAAAAGCTTCAGCTCATTGGGTGTAGGACCTTTGGCAATATCACGAGCATAGAAGGCATTTGCAAGGAGGCAAAGCACATATCGGATAGATGGATTCTTGATCTTTGTGTACCGTGATCCATGGAGGCAATACAGCTCATTAAGCGATGCTATGCTCCTCCACACCATTGATGCTTTTGTTGCCTCTTCCACTTCTTGGTAATAGGATATCGAGAATCCATAGACATCACAAATGTCACGGAAAGATATGGAGTACTTTGTTGGACCAATATAGAACTCTATGGACCCAGTAGTATCATGTGAGGAAGAACTGACAAAGTTCAACGAGGCAAGAAAATGCTTGGTTGCTTCGGCATGTGTTTGTATCCTCATGATTGCCAAATTTCCCAAATACATTCTTGATGAGAGGTCGTCCACCTTTTCTTCAATACCTATTGCTTCCAACGTATAACGACAAGCAAACCAAGTTGGACGGATTGTAGCACGGATAGATGTTACTATCACTTACCATGAGAAATCAAAGAGACACAGTTCTGATACCAACTAATAGAGCGAAAGCAACGGATAAAACAGCTCAACCAAGGGATTCTAGGAATCCTCACTTGAGACCTGCCAGCTCAACCAAGGGATTCAAAAATCCTCG